ACTTACTGTTGACAGAATGCAGCTGTAGGATAGACACAAGTATAGTTTTGTTGACAAAAGTCCACTTTTGTCGACAAAACCCTGTAGTCTAGACACACCCTAGCTCTCCATCTGGGGCCATCAAGCCATGTAGGACCTTCTAGCTCCTGGGCCATTTTGGCTCAACCAGAGCCTCCACTTATTTGTCACCTTTACCTCAGGGCAAATGTCCTTTTAAGCCCAACAGCTGGCCAGGCAGGCTTGCTCACTGCCTTGGTAGCACTGAGCTGTCCATGGTGCTGAAAGTCAGTTTAGCCAATGAGGAAATAAATGGAACTTCGCTGATGTACATTGGCCGGGTGTCTTGACCATTGACATCTAAGAAGCTAATTAATTACACCACCTGAGAACTGGCTCATTGACTTCTTTTAAGTTATGCAGATTCCCTATGGAGTCATGATTTCTTGCTTGGCCTATGACTAACACAAGAGATGGAACCTCATCCACTAATTACAAGTAGAACAGCTATTTCAGATAGCTATGCAGTTTTCATTTAAAGATGCCATGTGGTTTTTGTCTTGTTATGATGCTTCACTCATGGTTGAAAATATAAGCAGAGTCGCACCAGCTGAAGATCGGGGTCCCTTTAATTCAGTGGATTTTGGCTGATTTATACCAGTGGGGAAGCTAGTCCAATGACTCCAAGGTGGAGACATCCATTTTTGACTAGCAGGGGAGCTCATCCAATGAGTGGTGTCTATGTGGTATGCTCTTTGAGCATGTCTAGCCTATGTAACAGATCAAAACACAATGCAGACAAGTCATTAGCATCCTCAGTGGGCTTAAGCTGAGGAGCATACCAAGTGTTAGGAGACACGGTCTTCCTCTGTAGTATCACTAGAAGGCCAGGGAGAATGCACATTGCCTCTTCCCAAGACTTACATGGCTGCTAGGCTGGGAGAGGTGGCTTCCTCTAGGAAAATGTCCATGCAGGAAGGAAGGGCTCATCAGTATTTCAGAAAATACCCTGTCCTGGGACTTACAGGAACATCCTGGTGTTATGACTGTGCCATTTCACAAAATGAAAATTTTGGCCAAGTAGGATCCTGTACTGGTGAGATCCCAGCATTGGAGAGCACAGGAATTGAATTGCCCACTTTATCAGGGGGACTGAAAAGATGTGGATGCATTGGAGAAAGTCCAGCAGAGGGCAACCAAAATGAGGAGGGAGCTGGAGCACATGACCTATGGGGGGGGCTGAGGGACATAGGTTTGTTTAGTCTGCAGGAGAGAAGAGGGAGAAGGGATTTGATAGCAGCCTTCAACTGCCTGAAGGGGGTTCCAAGGAGGATGGAGATTTAAATGATCACTGATACATTTACATCAAAATGGCTGCCATGCTGTGCCGATCAGCTGTTTGGGGGCACAACGCGGTAGTCTGTACGCTCCATGGTCAACAAGGGAAGCCCTTGTCGACCGCTTCATTATGCCTCGTGGAATATTAAATACATATCTTATGCAAAGCAATTTATTTATCTCTCGTATTAATATTCTTTGGTCCACAAGACCTATGACATTTTAATATATATATTTTATCTGTTTTTAAAAAATGTCTATTGGTGGCACTCAATATATCACATCGATATTGGTGAGGTGCAGATCAAAATAGCATCCTTACAATGGTGGGGAGAGGGAAGGAATTACCTGGCACATTGGTGATTTCTAACTTTATAAAGAGCCAGCCAATTAACTATGGAGAGCAGCTGCCAGTAGTCTCCTTCTCAGCTCCTCTGGTCATCATGTGGACTACATCAAACAAAAAAGTGATCACATCTTTCCTACTTCAGGGAGTCACCTGGCAAGAGTAGAACATGGAATACCATGGGAATTTCTATGTGATTGATTCATCGATTGATAAAATGAGCTGGGATCATCTGGAGCAATTAGGATGCCACAGTTCTATCTGACTTTCTGTTCCTTTAATGTCAAACTTGTCTTTAAAGGTAATGTTGACACATTAGTGGAGTCTCTGATTGAGCCAAAGTGGCCCATGGGTTAGAAGGACCTGCATGGCTTTGTGGCCCAGATGGAGAGCTAGTGTCAGAAGGACCCAGAGTGGGCAAAACTTTTGCCTTCAGGAAGGATGTCATGGAGGTTTAGCCTGGTACCATGGTGGGATAATTTATGGAATTATCTTTTGCATGGGAATTATCAGCTTTCCATCAAAAAAAACCAACCACCCTCCCCAGGTTGAGGCTGTGGGACTCAGGTGATGTTCCAGGACAGATCAGCAAGAGGAGAAACCATCCTGTAACATAGGGGATAGAGTTGAGTCTGGTAACCATGAAAGAGAATGGCAGGGTGGGGTATCTGCAGGACCCCATGGGATTTGCAAAAATTTTGGTTTCCACCTTCCCTTTTTTGATGAGATCTGTTCAGTACCTGGTTCGGCTAAAAAGTTCAGGATGAAGTATACCCCGAACTTCATACACTGTAACGCTGGTAGAAATTGCATCATTTAGTAACACAGGAGGAAAGGGAGAGACTCTCCTCGGGGTATGAGTTACACTGGGGACGGCTTTGGTTCACTGAATGGATTAATTAGGTGTTAGTCCGCTCTGAGCTCAGCTATTCCCAGCTGTTTCAGGAGCGTGTCCCACAGATCACAGATCTCAGTATAAAACCTTCCAATTGCACCAACGCATCAGTTTTGGTGGACGGAGAAACGCCGGCACGTCTCTCTCTGCAGTCAGCAGGTACGTGCTATTCTCCTGCATCACAGTCACACAGAGACAGACTTGATGGTGTTTAGCAGGTTCAGGTTTCAAGATCTCCAGCACTAAAAAAAACCTTCACTCCAGCCTCTATCCCTTGAGCTAAGAGAACAAGCCCTTTGCTTGGGAAAAATAGGCTACTGACTCAAGTTAGTGTCTTTCATAACCTCCTGGGATTGTACCACCCATAGTCAGTGTAAGGTGCTGTCTGCTCAATCTGTGGACTCAGCATCTGGTTCATGAGCCACTGGAAGGTGGCTGCTGCCCCATGTAAACCAAATGGCATCATTGTGAACTGATAGGCTGTGTCTACACTACATGTCTCTGTCGGCAGAGGCATGTAGATTAGGGTTGAAGGCAAAGGTAAATGAAGCCACGATTTAAAAGATCGCGGCTTCATTTACATTTACATGGCTGCCGCGCTGAGCCGACAAACAGCTGATCAGCTGTTTGTCGGCTCAGCGCGGCAGCCATGTAAATGTAAATGAAGCCGCGATCTTTTAAATCGTGGCTTCATTTACCTTTGCCTTCAACCCTAATCTACATGCCTCTGCCGACAGAGACATGTAGTGTAGACACAGCCTATCAGTTCACAATGATGCCATTTGGTTTACATGGGGCAGCAGCCACCTTCCAGTGGCTCATGAACCAGATGCTGAGTCCACAGATTGAGCAGACAGCACCTTACACTGACTATGGGTGGTACAATCCCAGGAGGTTATGAAAGACACTAACTTGAGTCAGTAGCCTATTTTTCCCAAGCAAAGGGCTTGTTCTCTTAGCTCAAGGGATAGAGGCTGGAGTGAAGGTTTTTTTTAGTGCTGGAGAAAGTCCAAAGTGTGTACACTGTCTTCTCCTTCACCAAAGGGGTTAATGGTATTTGCCAATACCCATTTGTTACGTCTAATGTGGAGATAGAAAATGGAGAAGCAAACTGGAGAAATGGTTATAGGTAAACAGGATGAAGTTTAATAAGGACAAATGGAAACTTAGGAAGGAACAATCAGTTTCACACATACAGAATGGGAAGAGACTGTCTCTGAAGGAGAAATGCAGAACAGAACAGGGACTGGGGGTCACAGTGGACCACAAGTTAAACATGAGTCAACAGTGTGATACTGTTGCAAGAAAAGCAAACATGATTCTAGGCTGCATTAAATAGGAGTGTTGAGAGCAAGACATGAGAAATCATTCTTCTGCTCTACTCTGAGCTCATTAGGTTTCAGTTAGAGTATTGTGTCCAATTCGGGGCACCACATTTCAAGAAAGTTGTAGAGAAATTGGAGAAGGTACAGACAAGAGCAACAAAAATGGTTAAAGGTCTAGAAAATATGAGCTATGAGGGAATATTGAAAGAACTGGGCTTGTTTAGTTTAGAAACGAGAAGACAGAGAGGGGACATGAAAACAGTTTACAAGTATCTAAAAGGGTGTTATAAGGAGGAGAGAGAAAAATTGTTCTCGGCCTCTGAGGATAGGAAAAGAAGGAATAGGCTTAAACTACAACAAGGGAGGTTTAGGTTGGACATGAGGAAAAACTTCCTGCCTGTCAGGATGGTTAAACACTGGAATAAATTGCCTAAGGAGGTTGTGGAATCTCCATAATTGGAGATATTTAAGAGCAGGTTGGACAGACACCTGCCATGGATGATCTAGACTGTGTTGGTCCTACCATGAGGGCAGGGAACAAGACTTCATGACCTCTCGAGGTCCCTTCCAGTTCTAGTGTTCCATGAATCTATGATAATGTGTCTGGGTTTTCATACAAACCAATGTAAATTACACAGCCAGATGCATGGAAGCTTAAATAGCACTGCACACTTTCCACAAAGTCATATGCCAAGCCACAGATTTGTCCTTTCCCCCAGGGTGCAAAGATTGACACTCATTTACTCTTAGTCTTGAACTAAGGAATAATCTTTTCACACCGGGATGGCTTTCACCCTGATTCTCTCATAGCAAGGCACAAGTCCCTGTTAAATTAGTGAGCAAGAGTGTTTGGATACGGGGGGTGATTAACATGTGTGTCCTTGTATTTGTACAGTGTAGGCATTGTACGGAACACCTGGAATGGCCATTCATGAACATCTGGCTCTGTGCACTAAGCTGTTCCCTGATCTGGTACCAGTGCCCATTAAGAAACTGATCTTCATTTTTCTTCATTTACTTCACTGTAGCAAAGGGAAAGGTTGCCTGCTTCATTTACCTGCCCACATCCCTGTTTCTTCCTGATCTTGTCTCAGAGGAGATGGAAGAGGGAAATCACTCAGTGGTGACTGAGTTCATTCTCTCAGGACTGACAGATCGTCCAGAGCTGCAGGTGCCCATGTTTGGGATGTTCCTACTGATTTATCTTATCACCATGGTGGGAAATGGGGGAATGATCTTGTTAATCATGATTGACCGCCAACTCCACACCCCCATGTACTTTTTCCTCTGTAATTTGTCTTTCTGTGATCTCTGCTGTTCCTCAGTAATTGCCCCTCAGATGCTGCAAAATTTCTTATCTGAGAAGAAAAGCATTTTGTACACTGGCTGCTATATACAATTGTACTTCTGTATCTTTTTTCAAGACATTGAGTGTCTCTTGCTGGCTGTTATGGCGTATGACCGTTATGTGGCCATCTGTAACCCACTGCTCTATACGGTCACCATGTCCAGACAGCTTTGTAACCAGCTGGTGACTGGAGTGTATGGGGTGGGGTTGGTTGATGCAACGATAAACATCTGCTTTTCACTCCGGCTGTCATTCTGCAGCTCCAACGTTGTCAAACATTTCTTCTGTGACACCCCCCCACTCCTGGCGCTCTCCTGCTCTGACACCCGCATCAATGAGATTGTGACATTTGCCTCCGTGTGCTACACTGTGGTGATCAGCGTTGTGACCATCCTCCTCTCCTACGTCTGTATCATCTCCACTATCTTGCGGATCCGCTCTGCCGAGGGCCGGCGCAAAGCCTTCTCCACCTGCACTTCCCATTTGTGTGCTGTGGGCATGTTTCATGGCACTCTCCTTTTCATGTATTTACGACCCACCTCCAGCTATTCCATGGATACCGACAAAATTACCTCAGTTTTCTACACACTGGTGATCCCCCTGTTGAACCCCCTCATCTACAGCCTGAGGAACAGAGAGGTGAAGGGTGCCCTGAGGAAAACCATGAATAAACTCCTAAGCAATCATTGAATCTTTTCAACTTAGTTCTACTCTAGAGATGAAGAGCAGAAATAGGAGAATTCAATTCCCAAGCTATTGCAATGTCACTTCCTAGAGGCCGCGGTATTATTGTTCATTATTATATTGTTGTGGTTAATTTGTTTGTATTCCAGCAAGGCCTGGTGAAATTCAGGTCTCAATAGGAGATTGTACTTATAAAAGGGAAGGAGGTTTGAAAGGCTAGAGCTGTTTGTATTGGGAAAGAAGAGGAGGCATCACATCTAGCTCCCTCTTCTTCATAGCGATTATGGTTTTATTATGCAATTGGGAATCATGAAGCATGGGACGAAATTTTTCCTACATTCCTGTGGCTCAGCAGCCTTTTATGTGCTCTGTAGAGTTGTGGCAGAGGTTGTCACATGGTTTGGGTCCATGACTAGAAGGAGAAAGGAGATTTCAGTCACCATGGCCTTTATTTCAAGTGAAGGGAACTACAAAACAAGGAAGAGACGCGGTGACATTTCTTGTGTAGGTGTGTGGACAGAGTTGGCAATGAAGATGATTGCAGGGCTAGGTTCCTCGGTGAGTATTATGGAGGGGTGCTGTGTGGTTGCTGGAAAGAATTTGATTCAGGTTAGGGGTTGTCTGTAGGCAAGGACTGGCCTGTCTCCCAAGGCCTGTGAGAAGGAGGGGTCATTTTTCAGGATAGGTTGTAGATAGTTAATGATGCGCTGGAGGGGTTTCCGTTGGGGGCAACAACCTAACCTGAAACAAATTCTTTCCAGCAATCATGCAGCGGACCTCAAACATACTCATCCGGGAACCTACCCCTGCAACAACCCTGTTGCCAACTCTGTCCACACACCTACACAAGTGACACCATCACAGGACCTAACCACATATGCCACCACATCAGAGGTTCATCCTCTAATGTGGCCTGCATTATCAAGTGCCAGCAATGCCCTTCTGCCATGGATATTGGCCAACTATAGATAGTTCGGATTAGGCTCTCTATTCCGAACTACCAGTACACCTCATTCTAGAGAGCCTAATCCGAACTACCTACTCCGTGCCACGTGTAGCCGCGGGCACGGAGTCTGCACTAAAGGGGATTTAAAAATGGCGGCGCCCGGCAAGATGCAAATGAAGCCCAGGAAATTTAAATCCCGGGCTTCATTTGCACCTACAGATGCATACATTAACCGCCCTAGTTCGAACTAGGGTGGTAGTGTAGACATACCCCAGGATAGGTAGGAATTCATAGAATCATAGAGCTGGAAGAGACATCAGGCAGTCATCAAGTCCAGCCGCCTGTTGTAGGCAGAACCAATCCCAACTAAATCAACCCAGCCAGGGCTTTGTCAAACCGAGACTTAAACACCTCTAAGGATGGAGATTCCATCACTTCCCTAGGTAACCCAACCCAATACTTCACCACCCTCCTGGTGAAATAGTTTTTCCTAATATCCAACCTAAACCTCCCTAGCCTCTGTTTATCTGAAGATGGAGGACAGGGAAGGGATCTCATGAGGATTACCTGTTCTGTTCACTCCCTCTGGGGCACCTGGCATTGGCCACTGTTGGTAGACTGGACACTGGGCTAGATGGACCTTTGGTCTGACCCAGTATGGCTGTTCTTATGCATCCCAAGAGGCACATAACCTGGGGACCCAGTTGTGGAGCGGACCCAGTAGCATGAACATAGATTTGCACCTTGTTCACTTGTGGTCTAATCTCAGTGAGGTCTGGATCTTCCTCCAAATCTCAGCCAGTTCACAAAAAAAAGCGTTCCATGGGGTCTAAATCATCCATCAACGTCCTTCTTTGGATTTGACCGTCCTGACCGGTTGTTCATTAAGGGAAGACGACAGCCCTACATTTTGGGGACATGTAAAGCCAAGTGGCACGTTCTCCTCTCAGAACCCTCAATTGCGTCTCTAAAGGAACGAAGCACGTTTCAGTGATGTCCCCACCTTCCTGTGTAACATCCGTAGCGGGTAGGCGTACAATGCACTTTCTCTCTTTCATAGATTAACTGGATTACTGGGTCAGGACAAGGGGTGCCTGGCCATTAGGTCAGTCCCCAAGGGACTCTTTTATGACTTTAGGGGTCCATGTAACAGCCCCATACCCACCTTTCACAAGCACCCCTTGTAGTTTGGCATATCTTTAAACTGCCCCAGCCCTGATATTGGGCCAAACCCACAGGGTGTCTTCCCTGGATACAACGGTTCTCAGTTCTGCCTTCTCTTGATTCTTTTGGTGCTAGCTCTCCAGCTAGGCCAATAAATCACGGAGCTCTCTTTTCCTGCTGCCCAATCAAATGTCATTTCCTCTGTGGCGTATCCACATCTCGGGGTCCCAATGGGACCTTAAGAAGAACAAATAAAAAACATCAAGGCGTCCCTTTAACTCAACCATTTCCCTTTCCTGGGCCCCTTACCCGCAGAATGAGCCTTCATTGATGCTTCACCTTTACCTCAGGTCAAAAGTACTTTCGGGCCCAGTGGCCAGCCAGCAGCACTTTCTCATCTCCGAGTCCCTGCCAGCACAGAGCTGTCCATGGTGCTGAAAGTCACTGTAGCCAGCCAGTAGTTCAATGGAGCGACACTGGTTTATACCAGCTAGGGATCTGGATTGTTGACGTCTATGAATCTATGCCGATTTACATGACCTGGGAATTGGCTCGATGGCTTCATTTAAGTTATGCAGATTTTCTGTAGACCCACTATTTCTAGTCTGACCTTCAGATAATACTGGAAATGGAATCTCATCCCCTCATTACAACTAGAATGTCTCCTTTAGATAGCGCTGCAGTCTTGATATAAAGATGTCACATGATTTTGTATTGGGGTAAGGTCCCACTCTGAGCTGAAAAGATGCTGAGATTCGCACCAGTGGAAGGCCTGAATCCTCTACTACAATGGAGAGAGACATCCCTTTACCAGCAGGAGATCTGGTCTAATGGGTTGTGTCTGTGTGAGGGTTACTTCTTTAAGAATTTCTAGCCGTCTCTGCCAGACTAAGGCAAAGTGGAAACAAGCCCTCAGTGTCATCAATGGGCCCAAGACAAGGAATATATCATGTCTAACGTGTTCCTTTCTGCCAGTATGACATCTTTAGATGGCAGGGGAGAATGCACATTCCCTCTTCCCTAGACTGGAAAGGTTGTTGGGCAGACAGAAAAGGTTTCCACTAGGAAAATCCCTATTCAGGGGATTGTGCAGGAAGGTCTCTTCTGTATTTCAGAAACTACCAAGTCCTGGGACTAGCCGGGATGGGTGTCCCTAGTCTCTGTTTGTCAGAGGCTGGGAATGGGTAACAGAAGATGGATCACTTGATGATTCCCTGTTCTGTTCCCTCCCTTTGGGGCACCTGGCATTGGCCACTGTCAGAAGACAAGATACTGGGTGAGATGGACCTTTGGTATGGCCATTCCTATATGCTTATAACCTGTAGGAAGATTGTTGTTGATATTTACAATGTCCAGGAGCAGCTGGGCCATTTCACAATATGAAAATCCTGGCCATGGAGGGTCCCAGGTGAGATCCCAGGATTGAAGGGGAGAAGAATTGAGTTGTCCCCACTTTCTATTTTTTCTATTTTTGAGTATTTGTTTGCTATTAAATAAAGTTGAAGGCTATTTCTGGTGTATCGGCGTGTACAATTCAAGACCTTCATCTCCTATGTTAAAACTAGACCCATTGTTTTCAAGCACATAATTTTTTTAACAGTGATTCCATTCACAGGGGTCATTTGCATACTTACCTGTAAGGTGTGTGTCTGTGTGGCCATACCAAAGGAATTAAGTCCAGCACTCCTAATTAGGGGAGCTAAGCAGCATTCCCTGAAGATTTAGTGCTCTGTGGTAGGAGCAGGTTATTTAATTGGACCTCTGGAGAATATTTTGTGTGCTTTCTCATAATAGCCATGGTGACTTGAATTTACTTACACATCTGATTCTAGTATGACACATTGTGTCATGTTTACTAGTTTGAGTTGCTACTTTTCTTTTGATTCGAGTTCATATTCATTAATTTTTTTAATACTAAACTTGTCCACTCTCTCTTGTATTAGCATTCTTTCTTTCTTCTTCTTCGGCCATACCAATGATCTTTATATAAATTTTTTGTTTCTACAAGTGGCACACAATAGAGTACATTGATATTGATGTTGCATGAAACAAAATTTGAGTCTCAGCATGTCTGGCAAAAAAATGGTGAGGAACATTGGTCATTTCCAGATGTACAGAGAAACATCAAATGAACAATTGAGAGGAGATAGCTGAGGTCACCTCCTGAGCTCCTCTGGTCAGTATGAGATCTCCATCAAGCACCTACCTTTGGGTATGTCTACACTAGCTCGTTAGTTCGAGGTAGGTAGGGTAATTAGGGCAAGCGGAGTTGCAAATGAAGCCCGGGATTTAAATACCCAGGGCTTCATTTGCATGTTCCCGGACACCACCATTTTTAAATCCCCCTTAGACCGAACTCTGTGCCCGTGGCTACACGCGGCATGTTGTAGGTAGTTCGAATTAAAGATCCTAATTCAAACTACCGTTACCCTTCATTTGATGAAGAATAATTTGTTTCCACTTTTTTTCTTTTCTTTTCTCACGCAACACACTACACCCTCCACCTAGGTGCTAGGACCAATTACTCACATTCTCCCCCACCTGTCACAAGTCACTCCCCGCTCCAGCAGGGAAGGGACTCCCCTCTCAGTTTCCCTAACCCCCGCCTCTAGTTCAGGGTGCCCACCTTAGAGAGGGACGGCCTTGGTCTTGTCCCTTTGCCTCGTTCTGGGTCGCCTTCATGCAGGGAGGGGAGGGAGAACTGGGCACACCCTCGCTTCAGACCTCAACCCAGGACCCTAAGAACAAGTGCTGTTGCCGCTCATTCGGCTGGTGGGGCTGCTCCTCCAACTCACCGGCCCATGGGCTGTCCTGTGCCTCGTTCTGAGTTACTTCCTCCCATCCAGCTGAGCCACCTTAGGCCCATCTTGCCAGGACCCCAGAACTGTCCTGTCCT